GAGAGAGAGAGAGAGAGAGAGAGAGAGAGAGAGAGAGAGAGAGAGAGAGAGAGAGAGAGAGAGAGAGAGAGAGAGAGAGAGAGAGAGATCATAGGGTTGAAGAAACAATAGCAAGAGAATAAAGTTCAATACACAGAAATGTGCATGCTCAGAAATAAACCGAAGCTGGTGCTGGATGGGCATGGCATCAAAGAAATGTTACTGTCCAGAAATAAACAGGGCAAAGCGGGGAGTGCTGGAACTTACAGTGTAATTCACTGCCCTCTTATTGTGTCCTCCCGTCTGATGTGGATGTCACTGCTAGCGCTGTCATTACCAGTGTTACTGCTGCTTCCTTTACAAAGCATATTCTTGCATCTTAGACGCTTCTGCTGCTGTAACCATTTGTGTGTACCAACTTTTGACATGGCATCTGCTCCTTGCACGACTCTCAACACCCCAGTTACGACTCATCCTGTCAACCACTGGCCAATTGCTGTGGCTAACACCATCTCATGTCCTCCACCCGGCATATTTTGAGACGCATTCCTCCTGCTCCTCCAAAGCTGATCATACTGATTGGGGATCTCAAAAGCAACTGTTAAGGGGAACCCACTGGGACAAGTATGTTCACCTGAACTCTCAAATAGCCTTTACTGCCCTCGGGCTTCATTCGGCTATACCTGACCATCTCCCTTTCATCGCTCTGCTCGTGCTCCAACCTCAGTTTCCTGAATTCAACAGGACGGGCAGAGGGGGAGGGGGGGGTTTCAGAAGTATCTGTGATGATGATTACTCGGGTCAATACGGTCCACCTGTCTCTAAATACGAAACCTTTCTAGAGCTCTGGCCTCTCCTCAGCTTCTGCAGCCACGCCATTCTGCATGCGGACCAACTTTATTCGCTTTCACTCCAGAAGGTGGCGGAAAACATTATTTTTGATATTTAGAGTTTGCACGTCCCTGCTGGGATCTCCTACCTGTGGCATATCCTCACTTCCACCTGATACAGACCTGCAAGTTCTTGCAATAAGTCAGCTACCATCCACTGAGCGACCGGCCAACCAATTGCAGCTCCCCCGATGTCACAATTCCTGTCTCTGAACACATCTTCGCTTTCATAGCTCGGGAATGGTAACAAGGAAACCGCCACTTTGACTCTATGCTCAACAAGGAGTGCAATTCCATCCTTCCGAGAATATACTGCTACCACTGACTAGCACCCATGTCCCTTTATGCAGCATGCTGCAGCTTGTGACCAACAAATCTTGAAGATTTGAACTCCCTGAACATATGAAGGACCACTTGCCATCCTTCTCCAGACGTCAATTGGACAATTTGCGGACGCTCCCCTTTCCACTGTGGCTTTCCTTTTCCCTCTGACTCAGTCTCTGAACCTCTTGCCCCGATTCTAAGCCGCCTGGCACATTAGCCTGCATTTCCCAAAAACAGCCATTTCCTTTCCCGCTGCAAGGCGTTACCATCGAACATCAGGTTCCACAACTGAAGCCGTTTACAATCCATCCATCCGAGAGGGGAAAACAGAAGCCCTGAGATCATATCGCTTAATACACTCGGTGCTTCAACAACGAACACATCAACAGAGTGGGACCTGCTCACTGCTCGGATCTCCAGGCATGTCATGTCGACAGAAAGCAGTTCTTACACTCTGCAATTCTCTCAGGGGATACAAAGATCATTGGAGCCGGAGAGGAGAGGATGGACTAGTAGCAAACATTGCCTATAGCTATGTCTGAAAAGTCTGAATTGCTTCCCATTCTCGAAAAGTGAGCTGTTCACAACATGTTCACAACAACTGGGCTAAGCGCAAGAACGACAGTGACCGTAGCGATTGCACTTGTCACAGCCACTCTACTCGGATCAGGCTGACAATGCAGAGCACGAAACAGCCATATCAATCATGTCAGTTACTCCATTCCAGCCAAGTTTCCCCACATTTGTCACCAAACGCGCAATGGCAGTCATCCGTTTGTCACTTCCAGCAGGGTTTCTCAACAGCTGTCCGATCCGGACCAACGTTTCATGGGCCATTGTAGCAAATGACATTCAATAGGGGAGTACTGAATGTTTCACTTGCAGCTGCAGGCTAGCAGGGCACTGTCCATGTCATCTGGTGTGCAGTGTTCACCCTCTCTCCGACTGGTTGCTTTCAATTATCAGCCCCAGACACCACTTTCCCGCCAGTATCATGGACTGGTTGCTTTCAATGCGGTGTTCTCCCTCCCTCTGACTGGTTGCTTTCAATGATCAGCGCCAGCCACCACTTTCCAAGCATCATGCACTGGTTGCTTTCAATGATGAGCCCCGTCAGTCCCTGTCCAGTGTTATGTGGATGATCGGAGTCGACCTTGCATCTGACCTTGCCAATTCTCATAAGAACCTCGCTTGCCAGAATGGCGGTACAAACTTGAAAGATCCAAATAGAAAGGGCCATAGAGCATGCATGGATCTTGAACAGCATGCAACTATTGCAACTGAATGCAGCATATAACCCCAAGGCATTGCAAAGATACCACAACTGAATGACATGGCACACAACGCATGCACAAGAACAGACTGCGACAACTTTGTAAACACAGATCCGCCTTGCCAAAGTAAACAATCAAGTTACTCTTTCACCTTTCACCATCCTCCACCTCCATCAATGAGAGACTTCACTTTCTCCTCGAGTGAAAGACCTATCTTCTCCCCATCATATCCAACATCCATACTCCTCGCCCTTGTCAAATATCCGTCACCCTCCACACCTCCCTCTTGACCATTCTCGATACCATCCACCCATCTTCCACTCTCTTTGGCTCTCATAGCTTCAAGGTCAATCTCCCTGTCCCTGTTTATCCCTGCCATAAGCCTCTCAACAGCAGTCCCAGACATACCGTGAATCGTAGGATCAAGGCCTGTTCCCAGCTTCTCAGAATTACCCATTCGCAGGGCAAAAACGTCCGCACCATTCTCTGCCCTTTCCAAGAGCTCTCTCTCCCTTCTCTCTCTTTCTATCAGGTTCCTTTGCCAACTTTGGAGATCACAGCCAGCTAGGTTCTGAACTGTGCTTCCAGAGAAATCTCGGCTAACCCCAAGCCCAGGAGTCACTCCAATTGAGTTGGGCAGTGCTTGACGCCCCCATCCAGCCGCAGCTACCCCACCATTTGCAGAGGCCCAGGGGCTTCCAAGGTCCAGTCGCGATTGCAACACTCTTTCCGCACTCCCAGCTTGCACCTTCTGTGCCTGCATCTGCCTAAAGAGCGGTCTGCCCCGTCCACCGCCGAGAAGAACTTGATCTTGCTCCGATACACCCACGACGGAGGGACTTGAAAATCCGCTCTGCCCCATAACAGTATTCCCCACATTGCTGCTGTATAGGTAACCACCCTTAGCAACCTGTTGCAGTTGATGAGAGAATCCACCTCCAGCCTGCATAAACAGACCGGGCAGAGACTGCTGTGATTGCAGCAGCCGTTGCTGGGGAGCCTGCAAATGCTGCCGCACTTGCTGCTGCTGCTGCTGCTGTTGTTGCTGCTGCTGCTGCTGCTGCTGCTGCTGCTGCTGCTGCTGCTGCTGCTGTAACAGAGAGGCACTGAACCCTGGAGGCAAATGTGTCTGCTTCATAAACAACTGGCTTCCTTGACTTACCCCATTCACTACAGCACTGCCAGAAGAAAAGCCAGATAGCCCAGAAAGAACATCTGGAGAAGCGTTGTCCAGAGATGTTATTCCCAATGATGCGCCTAAATCAGCCGCTCTCTTGCTGTTTCCCATTGCCATGATAGCAGGATCCAAGAGTTCCAAATCTGTCGTTACAGATTTGTGAGGTTCCGGCACGGGATTTGCTGGTACAGCTGCAGTGGGTCGTTGGACTGTAGGGAACAGGTTACGTGCAGCAGCTGAGTTACCTCCGCCCACAAACTTCGGCATTTGTCCTGGTAAGCACAGATAAGCACAGAAGGACAACACACTCACCGTCATCTTTCCTTGTCCCTAGAAAACATGAATAATTGTGTATGCAACAAGCATTGCTGGAAAATAGGGGCCCTCTAAAGGCCAGCAAAAATGAGTGGCTCATACCTTGGGCCATCTGAGGACTGAAGCCTGGAGGAGCAGACTGAGTCTGTAACTGGGATTGGAACCCCAATGCCAAACCCAACCTTGGTGGCGATGCGAAACCAGGTGGAGGCTGCAAACCAGGTTTAAACTGAGGTCCTGCAAGAATGACCAATCGAACGCATGTCAGCAGAGTGCTTGTGGCTTAACAACCAAGACAAATCAAGAACAACATTCTGTTCTGAACCATCAACTTTTTTCTTTTTTTTTTTCACCACATAAGAAGAAAAAAAAGAAAAAGGCAGAAGTATCCAGCTTCACACCTACACATTACTGTTGCCGTTGCACGTATGAAGCGCCAAATAACTCTATAGATATGAGCTCCTTGGAATGCCTGGTATACCCGCTGGAAATTTGATCGGTTTAGTGAGAGCCCTACCACAAATGATTCACCACAAAACAGGCTACACATACACCGTCATTTCCTACTCTCCCCCCCCGAATCAAACGTACAGTCGTTATAGCTGCATTTGGGGCAACTTTCGGTTCAGATACAGCCATAATGACCATACGTTCTATACGGGGAGAAGGAGGTAGTCACTTCCATTACTAATCAGCTTCCCACGGACAAAGAGAGAGACCTTCAGAGAAACCTAGCACAACAGCTGAGCGCTGCCTCCAAGCTGCTGCTGAAATAAAAAGGAATAAACATCAGGGCAAAATATAATGCCTGATGCAGTTGTGGTCCCGTCAGAAGTGACAATGGAGTCATTCGGGCTGTCCTATTTTGATACATGTGCCAAGGACCATACTTCCGTCTTAGAATGAAGACTCATCAGTTTTATCTTCAGGCTTATGAAGCGTGATCCTGTGATCATCGAGTTCATTGTTTCTTAGTATGAACACAGCACCAGAGGGGCTTGGCCCTTTATCTTCAACAGCCACCACTCTTAAAAAAAACAAAAAAAACTTCACTGATAAAAACTTCACTGATCACAGCTGGTCCTCACGTTACTTACAAGCACTGTTCGTGATATTGTCAGTTCACCGGGAACCCTGATAAACCAAGAGATATACTAACTTCAAATTTTTTGATTTCCTGGGAGATGCTACGGGTTCACCAGCGGAGAGTGTTGGCTTGGGCCTCCTGGCTGGTTGTCTGTACCAGCCCCCGCCAGGTGTTAAGGGCTTGGGTACTGCTCCCTGAACAGGGCAGAGATAGGTAGACGTAGAGACCGATAACCTTAGGATAGTTCTGGTAAGTACATTTAAGGTAGTCTTAGGCCTTAGCCCTAGATCCTAGCTCAGATCTCGTCCTGAACCCGTGGAATAGCTTGCTTCCTGTCGCTGGATTCCCGTTGCTGGAATAAGGTAGGGATTCTGGTCGCTGGACTCCCGTTGCTGGATTAAGATAAGGATTCTGATAGTTGCGAGACTTGAGAGAAGAAAATAGGCTAGCAATCCAATAATGAATGCGTCAGTGCGGACAATCAGCAGGGAAGGAAGTCTACATAACCACAGTCAGAGTATCAAACAGAAAACCCCAAGAAGCATCAAACATTTCTGACAAAATCCATGGTGCGAATTTGATATAACGAGCACTGGCTCCCAGTGCAACCTCATAAAACTCTATGAAACACAGACCTGACGAAATTGAAACACAAGTGGGCACATAGTTGTAGGCGCTGGAAAAGAAGCCCGCGCCATACCTGCTTGAACACTTTGGCCAGGAAGAGCGACCGTCAGACAGAAGTAGTCCCTGGGATTGTGAGGAGGGCCGTGAGAGACGTTGGTGGCTGGCAGGGACAGGTCCATGCAGGGGCAGTCCCTTCAAGCACTCAGCGGCCGCACTGGACAAAGGTCAGACACAAGGTGGATCAGACACGTAGGCTAGACTAGGCAGTAACGATGGTAGTCATGCCTGAGTCAGACTACTACTTTGTTCTTAGCATTGTGTGCGTTCTTATTCTGGTATAATCTGGCCCTCCTTGACTCTGCTCTTGGTGTGTCTACTCATGCATGCTGATCAGTGCGCTGAAGTTCTTGATGAGTCACGAGTCTTTATGGGCATGTTCAATTCAAAAAACGATTTCAACATCTGGAAAAGAGATATGTCGCCTTGCAGCCCAAACGGATCTAGACGCCATATACTTAACTTTCAGGATTTGTGTGTCCTGACTGTCCAGCAAAACCCTGTTTCCGAATGGACTCCAGGCTGGGCCTGGTGTTGGACCTCAGGCTCCGAGTAGCCTCAACAGGTCTGGGTATCACCCCTTTCTGGCCTATCAAGATAAAAACCGCTGACAGTGCCTTAATCCAAGAGCATTTCCAACAGGTTGCCCAACCAGGACCACACTGTGATCTGAATTTGAGTGTTATCTTATCAGACTGGGCCGTGTACTGGGCAGAAAAGAGGAAAAGGTCCTAGAGGGCCCAGGACCCTCCACTTTTCTAAGACCCACTGCTAACATTCTTTTCGACAGGCCTAGAAGCCGCCAGTAGGCATGTGGGCCCAGCCATCCGGCCTACGGAGACCTCCCCTACATGTTTTGGCCACACGGACTTTTGTTGCATACTGCGACAATGCGCAGGGCACTACTTTCTTGAGAGGCCCATGCACTGGCATGCAGGCTGAACCCAGGCCCCAGAGAAAAGAGAAGGACAGTCAAGGACAAGGACTTCTCAACGCCAAGCACAGCCCCTCTCTCAATAAGGCTGTTAGAAAGCACAGCAGATAGCAATGATTTAAACTTGAAGAAGAATTTCAAGAAGGAGATAAAGAACCTTCCATGATACCAGTCTCCCAGAAGGTGATGCAGAAAGCGATTGGTTACACACCTCTTGTATTCTTTGCCGCTGCAGAAAGCAATTGGTTCTGATCCACTGCGCAACCAGATACACTTCCCTGCTGCTGCACAGGAAGTCCTTGTGCATGCGCAAAACCGGGGACAACACGGTTGAAGGATATTGGCACATTAGGGAGCAAAGCCCGAAAACCCCTCTGCCAATCTTCCTCGTGCAGACCTGAGTCAGAGCCCATCCCAGCATCCCGTACCTGCAAGGACTCTCCAATTGATACAGGCAAAGGGGATATATCCATGAAACCGGGAGGTACAGACCTCACTTCCCCTGCAACACCTTCGCCATTTACAGTCCGCTCGTACCTAGGAGCCCATCCATCATCACCACCTCCTATACACCTCTCAACATTGGAGATGCCCACCCTTGAATCTTCATGCACAAGTCCTACTTCCACAACAGCATGGCTTCTCTCCAAAGTCGAGATTCTTGACAAAGCAATATCCCCATTCACACCATCAGGCTGGGTGTCGCATGCGAATGTGAACCTGGAGGCTCTCCTGCTAGTGATCATGGGTCGTGATGCAGGAACCGCGGTCAGGTCACGCGTTGTCACATTCCTCCCCATCTTATCTGACCAAAGCTTTGCCAATCCTCCTGCAGCTCCAAGCGGCCCTTCTCCCAACAAGTCGAAATCCATCTTCAGTATATCCTCGATAACATTTGATTCATCACAGGCAGCAACCTGGCCTGTAACATCAAATGACAGACTCGTCCTGCCCCAAAGATCACCACAACTGTTTGCTGCCTCCAACTTTTCCATCGGTTCACCATGTACAGCATGTACAGCATCATCGGCCACAGCAGGGGAGTCTTCCATTCCCAACGTCTCTTCTATCACAGCAATCGAGGCTGCTGCGACATCAGCCCCACGCTGTGTTTCATTCTTACTCTCCAAACTTGCCTCCACAGTTTCAGCCTTTGAGATTGTAGATGTGGCAAACTCCTCCATCAGAACCTCCTCCAAGTTTTCCGGAAGAGATGCCTGAAAATCAACTAACGATTTCGGATCAGAAATTGCGATAGGTTCTGGAGTCGGGGGAGGGACCTGGGCCTTGGCTTCGGTGCGTTCCAGCGCGCAAACCTTAACATCACCTGCATCTTTCGCCGAATCCACCGTCGACAGCTTGCTGGCATCTTCTTCGTGTTCAGTTATATTGTCCACTGTTCCAAGTTTAGAATTCGACTCGTCACCACTGCTGTTATTTCCCAGTTCATCATCCTCGTGCACAAGGAGAACAGACGGCTGCTCCGCAACATGCTTCTCCACTGTTCCTGCAGGTTCGCTCTGGTCATCAGAATTATTATCTTCACATAGTACAGCTCCCTCCACCTGCTCGTTTGGTATTTTCAGGCCCTCCTCACTCTTCTCTTTTGGTTCCTTCTTCACGACTGATGCTCCTCGGACGGTCGTTCCCCCCCTCTCAGGTGATTCGCGCCTTTTCTGTGCCCTGTCCTTGGTTGCCTTAGTAGCCTCCGTGGTTAACGAACCCACAACATCCTCAACATCTGAACTGCGCTGCTCTCCAGCGGATTCCATAACCTGGGAAGCAGCATTTGGCTGTGCTTGTTCACCTGTTTCAGGCACTGAGCTTTTCTCGGAACAAGCCACCTTGGCAGCCTCTTCCTTCCCATTTCCGTGCTCCACTGCCAGAGATCCGTCCACAGAAGATGAAGTTGACTGAGTTTGTGGTGCTGACAAGCCTCCACCAGCAACTGCAGCAAAACTGGCAGGACCAATCCCATTCTTAACACCGATTGTTGTTGCTGCACCACCCCCCGCTGCACAAGTGCTTGCAGCTGCGCCGTTTGCAGTGGTTAACCCAGCAACAACAGCCGCGGCAGTAGGCTTCCCTGACCTGCCAGACCCATTTACAACTGCCCCAGACTTGACGCTGACTGAGCTTATAACGTGCGCTGAACCTGTGGCATTCTGCGAGCCTGTACCAGCACATGCACTTTCCTTTGCCCCGGCTCGTGTGGCTGGCGTCCCTCCAATCACACCTTGCCAAGTGCCACTTGTCGACTCTGATGTGCTTGCATTACTTGCCCCTGTTGTAGCTGGCATTCCATGTCCCAAAACCAATTGTCTTCCAGATCGAGACCCTCCTGTAGACATTCCAACCCTCTGTGATGACTGCAGAATAGCTGAACCGCTACCACTGGTTTGTCTGCCAGAGAGATCCCCATTCGTGCCACTTCTCACAGAGGCAGGTGTACTTTCCCCTGTTGAAGGTGGGCGCCCTGACAACGCTGCAGCAGCTGCGGCGACGGCTGCAGCTGCTGATGAAGTCTGGCGCTTTGATGTACCACTTGCACTGCTGGAGCTCCCCGATGCTGATGAAGACGTGGACGGTAAGGCAACCACACTCGCAGACATTTGTCCAACTGCTGACACAATGGGGGGAGGGTGAGCACTCGCCTGGATTACCCTTCCGCTAAGCACTGCTGCTGATGGCCGGAACTGCAGAGGTGTTTGTGACACTGAGTTTGACGCTGCTGCTGAGACTGTACCGGACGTCACAGATGCACTCGATGTCGAAGAGACGCTCCCTGCATTGGTACCAGCTGGAGGTCCAGGGCCAGAAATCGGCACACCCCTTTGCTTGGGGGTTCCAGCTGCCAGTGCAGACCGTGCTGGCTGCAGCACTGCTCTCCCAGCCGACGCCTTCGACGCCCTGCAAGGCACCAAAACCTTATTTACTCACTAAGATTTGACATGATTTGTATCTATGCTCTGTGACGCCTTTCTTTCTTTTTGATTTCCTGGTATCCGTTTAGCCAAGCTGTGTAACTGAACAATGAGCGACTCGTAACTTCTTTAGCCTCTACTTACGCTGGAGACTGAAGTGCAGACACTCAGTCCTTGTCAGGCAGGAACTTACCACCACACTCCCACAATCCAAAAGTGGAGGCCTCTGTCTGCATGTTCTCTTCTTCATGGTTACAATTCAGACCTCAGTGGAGAAACTCAGTCCTTGACAGTGACAGCCCCATTTCAGTTTCCTGGAAGGAACTTACCACCACACTCCCACAATCCAAAGGTGGAGGCCCCTGACTGCATGTTCTCTTCTTCTCGGTTACAATTCAGACCTCCAGCCATCCAGACCTGACAGACAGCCAGGTCTGGAAGCCATCGGAATGGCCTGAACCCATTCATTCAATAACTTCAGAAAATCCAGAAGTTCCAGTAACAGGCAAGCCCCCAAGCAGCCTCTTCACCCCAAAAAAGAAAAAAAAATAAAAGAAAAAAAAATTGAAAGAACTTTCCGTTGTTACGGGTCCAGTGACTGGCACGCTCCCATGAAGCCCCAGCAAAGGGAAAAAATACAGAAAAAAAGATGTTACCATAACCGCCTGTGACCGCTTGCCTGGCCAGGCAAAAATTGAATTAAAAATAAAGAATTCAAAAATATTTTTATTTTTCAATTTTATTTTTTATTTCTCATTTGGCAAATAATTTCAAACCGACCGTGATGCAAAAGTTGTTCAGGTACCCAAGAGCCTAGCTCAGTGGGTACACCCATGAACTGTTGAAACTTGAAATACACACCACAGTTCGAATCCAGATGATGGTTCTAGATGAATAAAACCTGATATTTCTGAATTGCCTGAGTTGCCTGTGCCCGGTCAGCTCAGCGATGATATCTAAAGGCCGTCGCCCTTTAAAGGAAAAGAAGGGGAAAAAAAGAAAAAAAAAGTTGTTCAGTTTTTTAACTTTCTTTTAATTTTCCCTCCCTTTTTTTTTTTTTTCAGCCTACAAACACCGTCCCATTTCATTATATAGCCGGGAAACAGGCCCAGCGTCCCTTACATCTTTTCAGTGATCCCTTTGAAGGGCAAGACATCATCGGACAAACCCTAAAACCGCACCACTCCCCACCGCAAACTTCAATATTCCCGACTCAAAAGAAAAAAAAACTAAACATCATAATCCCAGAACTGCCGTCCCTCCATTTAACAATTCTGATCTAAAACAAAATTTAACAATTCTGATCTAAAACAAAATTTCACAAACCCTAAACAACGTTATTTATTTTTCTGCACAACATAGTTTTTTAACTATTTTCCCGTATTTTTGGATTTTTTTTTTTTTTTTTACAGGGCCCTTGCCTGGCCGGGCCGTCCGGGCAACCAGGGCGACCCCATCGACCCGGTTGGTAACACAGTAACATAAGGAAGAATTGCTATAAAAAGTTATGGCTGAGGGTCATTTCGAAGTTCCCTATTTAATTGCAGATAAATAGTGCAATAGAAAAAAGAATTGAGGCCCACCACCTTAAATCCTAACAGCACCACCCTCCTCCCCCCCCAACCTGAAAGACTGAAAAGAAACAAAAAGGAGCCCGGATTCACGCTAGTGTGATGGGTGCACGCATGCGACATCGTCAATGTACAAAACCAGGAAAAACGAAAATTGCAACCATTGCTGACAGTCACAGCACTGGGCCCTACACATGAGCCGCTCCCAGCACTAGCTCTCTCTCTCTCTCTCTCTCTCTCTCTCTCTCTCATCCACCTTCTTGACTGGATTCCAGGTTTGACTTGGTTCAGTATAAAGGGCGAAGGCTGCCTGTTTTTATATATTTGCGTTTGTGTGTCTCCGTTCCGTTCCGACTCCACCTCTCTCCACTATCCCTCTCCCCCCACTCTCTCCCATCCCCCATCGCTTTCCCCCACCCTCCTCACACATGTTTCAGATTCGACTCCACACCTAACATCCTCTTAAAGCAGCATCCCAATCGATGCTGCAGGGCAGTTTTCAGAGCGCTCTCCCTCTCCTCACCCACCCATATCTCTCAATCTCCCCCTACCTACCTCTCCCTTCCCCTCCTCCCTACCACCCCTTCATTCCCCCCTTCCTACCGCCTTTTCCCCCACTTCCCCTCCTCCGATCTACCGGCCTCCATTCCTCCCTCCCTCTCCCATCTTATTTCTTTAACTATCCTCCCTCCTCGCTCTCCCTCACTTTTCTCACCCTTAAATGACCATTCCACTCCATGCTGCACGGCTGTTTCCAGATCTCTCACCACCACGTACATCATGTGCAAACATAACCTTTGTAATAACTGGCTTGGCCTGCCAAGGAAGCATGGTCTTCACATGACAGTGTATCGCTTGTGACTACTGTCCGATGTTCATTGTTGTTATACTTTTTGCTTAAACCACCACTCCAATGGCCCCTGCCCCGACCATTTTCCTCCTTGTCTAGAAGTACCGGGCCAAAATATGCAGTGTCCAGGCCCAGTGGGTTTGGTGGGGAGCAGTAATGCAATTATCTTTCCTCACAGCGGCGCTGTAGATTCCAGGCTCAGGCAAATTCAACTCTTGGTTTGTGGAAATAGGTCCGGATGAAGTGGTGGTTTAAATGAATTGCAACCCGAGCAGCTGGGAAGGTGCATGCAGCATCCACAACTGTCCAGAAGGTTACCCTGCAGAGGCAAGAGAACGAAGGGAGGAAAGGAGTCCAGAGGGCTACTGAAGAAAGCAGGTACTGAAGAGAAGGGAGGGAGCGCAGGAGACGAGGAGAAAGCAGGTATAATAGGTAAGCTGCACGATGAAGTACCAGGAGGCAGAAGCTGGCAGACCACTTGTTTTGCTAGGACTGCTGGCCAGCAGACTACTCTTTGCAGGGCTTCCTGAATGTGCTTGGGAGACATGATGATGACCTGCTGCATTGTTCGGAATCTGCAGCACCCGGCACCCCATAAAACGCAGCATATTAACATCCACGCGATTATAAGAGGAGAAAAGTCCTGAAAGACAACAAACTGACAAACCAGGAATAGAGTCCGCACAGTTTCATCACCTCGCCCTATATTGCAGAATGCATACGCGTACCTAGATAGTTCAGAAGTCGAAACCTTGTAACAATACAAAAGCCACGTCAAGCAGGTTCCTTCTCAAAAAGGGCGGTGAAGAGAAAAGAGCGCTATTTTGCCCTTAGGCATGCATGCTTTACTCTAAGTTTACTGTACATTGACACTCCTCGCAATACCACAAGCGCCACCACCACAAACTGGAATGCAATTCGGATGCGTTTACCCTAAATGAGACTCGAAGCTCATCCTTGGAAAAAGTGTTGTGATCTTTGATATCCTCAAACTCTTCCATTTTCATCTAGTTTCATCTGAACTCGAACACAGGTCCGTACGTCAACAGTTTAAGTGTACCAACTGAACTACCGTCTTCACCCGAAAATAACGCCCGGGCGTTATATTCAACTTAGCAACTTACCCTAAAAAGATGGGATTTTCGTTTTTACTCACTTTTTTTCAAATAGAACGCCACTTCGAAAAGAAGGGCCGGGCGTTGTATTTGAATAGAACGCTGGGTCGTTATATTTGGATGTTCCATGGGCAGAGTGCCTTGAAGAGGTATAGCATACATGGGTTTTAAAGGGCGGGGAAGCGGGTACACATGGGTTTTGAAGAGGGTTGAATGGGGTTAGTTTTCGTTTATATTTTTTATTTCCGCGTTTATAAGGACTTCGGAAGTGACCCTCAGCCAAACGTTGGTCGCGTTCCAATCCTGGACAACATTTCTTTTTTCAGAATTTTTTGATTTTTTTTTTTCCCCAGAATTTTGGGGCCTCACAGAAGCTACCACAAATTTACTGAATATAACGCCCGGGCGTTATAAACGAATATATATCCGTACACAACGCCCGGTGTTATTTTCGGGTGAAGACGGTAGGTCGTTATAGTACGTGACAATTGAGCAAATTTACCTTCCGTTTTAAGCTGCAAATTAACCAATGGAAGCACAATGGTGTAGCAGAACGGGAATTGCACGGCCACCCTTTCGATAACTAGTCAGGGCACCCCAGCTTGGCGCCTTTGCACAAACTCCACCCAAAGAATATGGCTGTGCAAAACGACCATCCCAAACCCCCTAACACATTCGGTTCGTTGTCGACCAACAAGGTGAATCCAGCCATGACAAAGCTATCAATACTACACGTCAAATCTTCACTGCTGGTTTCTGGATTCCGAAAACAGATCCTTTTTCTTCTGGAAACATAGCAAAGATATCAACAATACGCATCAAATCTTCAGTGCTTCGCAGGCACTCGCAAGAGAGATCACTTTTTTCAAAGTAATGATGCGCCGCAACCTTGGTGTCCTAAGGAAAATAGAAAAAACAGGCTGAATAAAAAATGAACAGATTCCCTGCCAAGAAAATGTTAACCGTTTTTGACAGGATCTACGTTAAGATTGGCATCTTCCTTGCCGATTGACTGATGAGACCATCAATTGACCAGCCAGCATACACCGTACTGTTCTCCCTCCTTTCAATCATGACTTCGTCCATTCCTTCCGCTAAGTGAGAAGTACCACAGACAGAGGACGAGGGATGTGATTTCAAGGGGGTCACACACCGGAATGGCCTGCTGATGTGAAGGAGCATCCACTGGGGGAGGTAGCCCAGCGGCACGCCGCCCTGAAGGGTGAGCAAAATCATGGAAATACTGGTGTTTGCTGCACGAATCAACCAAAACGACAAGTCCCACATCCAACCATTACATTCAGTCATGCCAAAAACAGAGGCAACCTCAACATTTGACGTAACAAAAGCTTCTTCGCAGACACAGGGCAGAAAATGCCAATGAACAATTGCTCAAGCTAGCGTTGCACATACTGCGCACCAATTTCCGCTTTGAACCATTCCTCTGTACCCTGCTAGCACATCAACTCCATCACCCTGTGTTTCATGTCTGAGCAATGACAAGACAAAGTATGTGCGTCACTTATGGGTCTGTTGAAGTTCATTCAGTTTGATATCATGGCCAGCACATACGAATACGCAACCAGTTGGACATACAACTGTGCACCAGGATAAACGCTCAAAGAATTGCAGCTCAAGCCAGACCTCTCCCGCTCCATGGCTGCCACAATGGCAGAGGGAACAGATGCCCGTTTTCCAGAGGGTAGCACATCAACTCCATCACCCTGTGTTTCAAGTCTGAGCAATGACAAGACAAAGTATGTGCGTCACTTATGGGTCTGTTGAAGTTCATTCAGTTTGATATCATGGCCAGCACATACGGATATGCAACCAGTTTGGACATACAACTGTGCACCAGGATAAACACTGAAATTCAACTCAAGCCAGACCTCTCCCGCTCCATGGCTGCCACAATGGCAGAGGGAAAAGATGCCCGTTTTCCAGAGGGACAGTGGAAAAGGCTGGCCAAAACCAAATGAGACAAAAGAAAAGACCGTTTTCCATACTGTTGGAAACTGGACGCCTCCAGTCATAACAGGCAAGACGGTCGAGAAAGACTGCAAGCCCCCATGCAGCAGGACAAAGACCAGGGTTCACTCTCACATCCTCGGCAATGGGATTCTAGACTACACATAGGCATTTCCAAATCATGACCACAAAAGTACGATGCACGGTACGCATTTGCAATCCTCCCCACAAGCATGAACTGCACATGGAAGAGTTACAAAGCATTACGTCGTAAAACCACAAGGACATAAACACTGGACACAGGCAGGACATGCTTCTCATGCAAATTGATAGACAGACTAATTGAACAGCTCTGTGAACCACATCATCCCACACATGCCACAATCCTTTAAACCGCTCTAAAAATAACACAATGTCTAACAGTCAACCAGATAAGCAAAGACCATACAGAATCTCCCAGCCTGGGTCACACACAACTATTAGCGTATTCCACCCACTCACAACCATTAGCATATTCCACCCACATGTCACAAATCAGCACATGGAATTATCAAGTAGTAGTTTCTTCTCCAACCACATTTGACAAAGGGTATGCCAATACTTTACCCACTCCCTTCTTCACCGCTACATGCACCAGCCGACTCAGCACAAGACACAGACACAAGTGAGAGTTGGTTAGGCCATGGGCGATCAGTCGCAGTATGTACAACAAAGTACCTTCCATATCGTGCCAGCATCTCCTCCTTTGTGAAGCTATCTTCTTGGGTCCCCACTTCATGAAGGTATAGACAATCTGGGTTGTTGCAAGGCTACACACACCACGGAGCGAAGTCATTCCTTCTGTCTTTGCACCCACTGCACATTTCATACGCCCTTCTCAAAAGCAATTATCTGTCCAATGAAGAATCATCAAGTAGCGCCTATTTCTCGAGGTGTGAAAAAAAACTTTGTTGACCCAACACCGCATCAGCACCAGTGAAGCATATTCTCGCGATGATACATTGAGAGTGGCCTGTTGCAAGCTCACTTGCAACAAACCCAGGGTGAATGCACAGTGCCACTGTTCCAAAATGCAGCAACTGAGAGACAGACAGACAAAAAGCCAGGCAGGGGCAACCAGAGGGCGTGCACGTGCAAATCTGTTCTGCTTCCTACCCTTCACGACTCTCTTTCCATCTGGCAACTTGATGTGCAATCATACAGTACACAGAAGGTCCTTTTCATCCCGCTCTCTTCTTTTTCTTTCTTCACTCCCATTTCAATAACAGACAGCTCTGCAACACTGCATATGTCAATGTCTTCTTCTTCTTCTCCTTTCTTCTTTTTCTTCCCCTTTCTTTTTCTTCTCCTTTCTTTTTTCTTCCCCTTCATTTTTCTTCCCCTCTTCTTTTCTTCATTCTCCTCCGGATTTTACAGTCAGTGGATATGTTGCCACAAGGTGCGGGCACAGTCTCACTCTCGGCTCAATCATTGATCTAATGTGGACACAATGTTGATGACTCCTTCCCCCACCCCCTCTTCTTGTTCTTCGTTTCCGTTCTGCTCCTCGCCCTCATCTTCTCCTCCTCCTCCTTCTCCTGGTCCACCAGTTAAAGGTGCACTGGTGTGGGTCATGCTATTATCCTTCTTTTACAGAAGGCTATAAGACTGCATGCAGCAAAACCAGGCTGTGATCCCTTTTGGAAACGAGGCCAGCATCCAGCAAGCACCAATAATGCACAGGAGTTCAGGATCAGGCTGTGGACCCCTGTTGCAAATCCGACAAGATCAGGACAAGCATGCTACAGAAATGGACAAGCATAGATAGCCAACGAAACTCATCACCCAGAAACAGAAGAGTGACAAGGACAGAAGAAAAAGAAGAGTGTGGAGTGAAGGACGACACATGCGAACAACACAAACAAAATCAGAGAGAGCAGAGGCGTCAAACAAGGCAAGAACGGTGGAACACGAGAAACATTGATAGAGACAACGTGCGAGGAAAATGCAGAACGGATGCGAGGTGTGAGAGAAAGAGAACTTACCATGTGCTTAAGCCAAGCACTGCAATACTTTGTCGTTCCAAAGTATGCCCTGCTCAAACAAGGAGCCAAGACAAGTAAGCGAGAAACACTTTGAATCTTCTACATTACATAACAATAACCAGGCAGTCGAGCACTCCAGCACATCGCAACCCTGATGTTTTCAAACTCAGAAACAGAGCGATAATGCATGCAAGAAACGCATCACACACATTTGCTATCCTTTCCTCGCCAATGCCCATCTGCAAATTGCAATGACTCGAACAGTTGCACTCTGAGAAATCTGCACTCTCATGACAACTTGCTGTCCTTTCGTCTGCCTTGCTTAGATTTCCGAGTCAGAGTCTGTTTTGTTGTGTGATCTGAGATTGTGTCCTGCTGACGATGTACGTATGCTTGTATGTGCTTACCTGCTGTACACGTCTCTCTGTCCTAACTCTGTTTCCAGTGCTGTGTTCCTGTCTCAGGACCAGGGGTAGTTTAGTAAATAGGCCTAGACTCAGGGACATGACTGGAAATTGGCATGGAGAGGACATACGGGAAATAGTAAGACGGAAAGGGGCAGGAACAAGAAATTTGCCAGCGATTCAGTACAGATTCGCATTGACTTGGAGAGGTCCTAGCTAGAGTCCGGTAACTACCTCAGTCGGTAAGGCTGGTGCCAGGACAGTACCTAATCGCAGATGGGTCTGGATACAATACAGGTTCTGCAGGTAGGATATCGGTCGACCCTGATGTTCCAGTCCAAATGGGGGAGGCATATCTCTCGAACAGTCCAGGGAGACCGAGAAGTCTTAGGAGTAGGCTGGAGGCAAGAGAGTATATCGTTGGGCGCAATTGAGTACACTGGTTATTCACCGAGCAGTCATGCTGCTGCTAGGCGGAGCTCTCGGGTGGAGAGGAGGACCAAGGGGGTGATGAAGAGCAGCAACAGGAGTTGTCCATCTATGGAGAAAGTTAGTAGATGCCCGTGTTAGGCCTGAGGCAAGTGATGGAGACCGCCCCAGCGAAGAACGAAAAGCAGACCGCGTATACCATCTTCAGCTTCCTGCTTCAGAAAGGACCGTGCTGGGGTACCGGTTCAGTATGAACTTTTGTGCCGGAGGGAGACTCTGGTGGTGGGAGATGAGACAGGCCTGGTAGTAACGTTGTACATGCTAGGCGTGAATGAACCTGCGTTACCATAAGGAGAGAAGCGAGACAGACAGGGGGAGAGAACTAAAGGAGTTCTTTAAGTGAAGGCAGTAAGGGAGGTCGTTCAGACATCTATTCTTGATCGTTCGGAAAGAGATGATCTTTCCTCAATCTTCTTCTCCATATTCCATCTCGTGTTCTTCTTTTTCTTCTTCTTTCTTCATTCTTCTTCACTCCTGAACAAATCCATCTCTCGAGTTGAGATGGATGTCATTGTCTCAAGGTCGTTTTGCGCTATGTGTCGAGCAGGATCGTGGTACAATCTGAAGTTCAGGCAGCTGTTTAAATGCAAAAAACGCTGAACAGAAAAACCGCATGAAGAACCGAGCTTGACNTCGAGCAGGATCGTGGTACAATCTGAAGTTCAGGCAGCTGTTTAAATGCAAAAAACGCTGAACAGAAAAACCGCATGAAGAACCGAGCTTGACAAGCATGAAAAGGGGGTTAGGAGCACACCACCTGCCTCAAACTGTTCCATCAAGTTCACCAACTTCCCTTTGGCAGAACAAAAGCAAAAGAGGGATTAGAACGGGAATCAGTACGCTCTCAGAACTCCGCTCACCTTATCATTCTCCCATCCAGCACTGCACCATCAACACTCTGCTTGCACCTCACTGCATCCTCTTCCTTGTAAAACGTGACATAGCTGGAGGAAGCCAAACCACAAATCATCAGTCATTAGGCAGCCTCTTCCTCCCCCTCCCCCTCAAGTCCGCAGAGAGTTTACCAATCAGAACTTTGCTCGTCCAACAAGCAACTACATTGCCATGCTCTCTCTCTCTCTCTCTCTCCACCCCCCCCCCCCCTTCTGGCTTTCCTCCTCCCTAACAGCTTGTAAAGAAGATAACTCATAACAGATGGTGGGGCCCTTCGTTTCCTAAAAGAAGAACCGTACATAAAGAACAATGGCAATACCAAGGAAGGGTGATAAAGTACGAAGCAATTGAATGAATGCTCTTATGAGCGTCTTTGGCCTACCACAGACCCCATATCGACTGACATAAGAGAAAACAACGAAATAAACAATTCCCTTACAACAGTAATCCCCCAATTTAATTTCCATTTCAATTGCTTTGACATGGCAGGATTCAATCCTGTTCGCTAGATCTTAAGGCAATCAACAGATTTATTGATTGGATGTGGTGTGAAGATGCGAAGTGTGAAAGCATTACACTCCACTACATACAAGCAAGGCATCAAACTCCACATGTGCCGCTTGTTTGATAGTAACCAATACTAACCATGATAAGAAAAAGCATCCCACATAACAGATGGCAGTCACTGTGACTTCTTCAGTCCGTAAATTGAAAGACAGGTAGCCGAATTGGCTGTCAATGTCAATCACGTTTGTTGCTCATGACACAGGCATTGACATTTCCATGCCATTGAGACATCATCACACAACTGTGTCATTTAGGCATAGCTGCACAATTCACCAAAGACATGCAGGAAAAACGGACGGCTGTGATGGTTTCTCGGCGAAGCAGATCACATACGCGCTTGCAGTAGGCCCATGGCCAGAATTGGGCCCATAGCTGTTGCCACGAGTCACAGCAATCTTCATGATCTTCCCATACTGTCCAAAATAATCGCGCCTCTCCAGAGTCTGCAAGATTCATCCACAGTGACACCACGTGATCAACGGCAAAAAGGTCAATACACACAACTGAAAACAACAGACACATCATCGACATGAGAAACGGCAACAAGGAGGACAAGGATATGACAAATGGCCATTACGGCAGAGTGATGAGGTGAAGGACGCAGGCACTGTGCAAAAGGTAATCATGTCGACTATGGGAACATACGCAAGGGGAGAACAAAGAGGAAAAGGGGCGGAACTGTACTAAGCTCCATCATAATTCATTGCCGAACAATCTCCGAGAAGCGAAAAAAAAGGAAGGCAAATGATGAGTAGACAGAAGAATGGAGAGGCGAGTGGGGCAGGGCAGAGGGAACACCCATAGAAATCACTGATGTCAGACCGTCCATTTCAAAAGCAGCATGGCAGCAGCAATGTTGGCCTGCAAACTCGATTTTAAGCTCTCTCTCTCTCTCTCTCTCTCTCTCTCTCTCTCTCTTCACATTCACCCAAAGAAAGCATTCTGCACAACCGTCTCGCATTATCCCTCCCTCCACGCCCCCTGCCTCTCTGTGCAATATACATGCACTGAGGTAAAATAGCATGCAATGCCTCTGAACCCCATGCATATTTCGGACAAGTCGACACCCCTCCCGTGCATTAGGTATCGTGAGAGCCACTCACCCCTCACGTGTGAGAGTCACTCGCCCCTCACGTGCATTAGGTATTGTGATAACCACTCAAACACGCGGAGCACCTGGAGCCCCCCTCTCCCTCGCCTCGTAAATGTTCTGAACCCCATAATTATTGTTTGAACTGCTGGAGCCCCCATCTCCCTCACCTCGTAAATGGAAAGCATCTTTGAACCAACAGAACATTTTGAGATTCGAAAATGAGCCATTCTGAAAAGTCCGGGAACTCGGGACAGCTTCAGCCTCAGGGAAATGAATTCTTTTTTTTTTTCAATGCCGCGCTTGGTCCCACTCCCCCTTCAGAGGCCCTGCCCCGAGCCTCCAAAAGTTTAGGAGAGGCTCACTTGGCTGGATAGAGCACTATACAGCCAACACGACACTGCCAAGTGCCCTCATGGAAAGTATTGCCCAAAACCCCTTCACGATCGCCCTCAACACGTTACCCGCTATAGGCCACTGTTGGACAGCCCGCCCTCCATACATCAGTCCCTCCCTCCACACGGTGAGACCGTACACCCTCAACAAACCCCCTCTCCCCTCACGCACCGAAGTATTGCCTAACACCCCCCTTCATGCTCATCCCTTGACACCCTACCCCCTCACCCTATCCGTATAGGGAACTGTGGATCCGCCCTTGATACTTCGGTTCTTTCCTCCATATGCGTAAAAAGCATTTTGCGACCTCCGCCAGCACTTCTCCCTTTCTGGTGGATAAAGCACTATACACCCAAAGCACTACACACCCAGCATGACACTGCCACACGCCCTCATGAGAAGTATTGACTAACACCCCTTCACAGTCGCCCTCGACACGCTACCCCCTAACCCAACAAATATAGGCCACCATGGGACCGCCCGTCCTCCATATATCAGTAGGTTCCTCCACGCGGTGGCACCGTACACGTCCAAAACACCACCTACTACATACCTCCTCATCCGCCAGATGTAGGGGAATCCCCATGACATAGACGAGAGTTCTCTGAATCACACGAACATTGCTCAAATGCTTTCTCGCCGCGGACATGGTTGACTTTGCCTGCCGAGCTTTCTGCTTCTTCTCATGCAAAATGTCCATTAACCTGCGCACAGATTATAAATAATAATTTTAAACAACAGAAATGTGCCAATTTCATCAGCAACGTCATCAGCAAAGCCGTCAAATGATTAAAAAAATTGAGCCAAGAAGATAACCAAAAGACTCAGAAAACAGGTCCTTACACATATCCCACGTACCGCCATGTACCCTTGACAGTTTCATTTACCGAGGAAGAAGCATCCATGTACAGCGAGGGAGGATGACAAACAGGATTGACATAGCATTCAGCAGTAGGCAGATGAAAACTCCCTCGGGATCAATCCAGTTCTGTACCACCCTGCTTCTGCCTTCCGTCGAACACAATGCACCCTCATAATGCATGTATACAAGCTATATTTCCAGCCACCTGCTGTCATTCTGAGGGTGCGTTCTATTCGGGAAAGCTGGTAGGCTCGGCAATTGTCCCACGCCATGTGACATGCCCAGCATACCCTTCTCAGCGCCTACCTTCACGTGAAGATAGGTGGGTGCACGTACAAATGGGAGTGTACAAGTGCACGTACAAATGGGAGTGTACGAACCTCCACGTGAACTCTTTCAGTAGCACTCTAGCCATTGCAAACCCTCTCAGTGACCTAGATCCATTCACATCTAGGAAACTTCTCCAAAGTTCAAGTAAAAATGAAGTACGAATAAGTCTCTCCACAAATTTGTGGACAAAGCGACCTGGTCACAAATCTAACAGCAATGGCCTAGCTCAGCTGGTACACCCACGAACTGTTGAGATACAGGGCTCAGTTCCAATCCCAATGGACTCAGATGAGTAAAATAACTCTGAATTGACCTGAGCCCGGTAAGTTTGAAGGCAATATCTCATAGCCGTTGCCCCTTTCAAAAAAGAAACAAAAAACACAAAAAAAATGTACAAACCCACACGTAAATCTGCGGATCCCTGACCATCTTCTACGAACCAGCATCAAAAAAGAAACCAGAAACACGAAAAAAATGTACAAACCCGCACGTAAATCTGCGGATCCCTGACCATCTTCTAGGAACCAGCAACAGAAGCGGCGACAATAATGCGAGAAAGCTTCAATGAACCTGGCTCGTATTCTGGAAGGGACTAGTACTAACAATATAGACAAGCCCTTCAGGACATATGTTAAAATTGGAATGATACACAGAAGATTAGCAAGGCCCCAACACAAAAAAATAAGTAAGTCGACATGCTGATCTACGTCTGTCAATGTGACCTGAAGCGCATGCCCCATGCAAGAGGAGGCCCAGAGCGCATTGATGATCGCACACAGACGGCACAGAGCACATTGATGATCACACACAGACCCGGTTCAGCGTCCCATATCGTAGTCAACAGTGTGATCATCAATGTGCTCTGGGCCTTCTCTTGCATGGTGCATACACTTCAGCTAGCCTAGGATATGGGACGCATGCACCATGTTAAGTCATGTCAAGTCTGTCAAAGTGCATGCCCCATGCAAGAGGAGGCCCAGAGCACATTGCTAATCACACACAGACTGTTGACTACGATATGGGACGCTGGACCGGGTCGGTGTGTGATCATAAATGTGCTCTGGGCCTCCATTGCGCTTCAGCTAGCCTAAAATATGGGACGCATGCACCATGCAAGAGAAGGCCCAGAGCCATGCTAATCTTCTCAGTATCGTTCCAATCTTACCGGATGTCCCTTTCCCGAAGACATGAATGAAAAGCAATACCTTCGACCGACGTCACTTTAAGCACTGCGCTATGCTGGCCTCAGCAACGATCTACCACCGACCACGGCGGGCCTCTCTCTCTCTCTCTCTCTCTCTCTCTCTCTCTCTCTCTCTCTCTC